CCTAACTTAACCCTAAAAAAAACCCCCTAACAAAGGGTTCCAAAAATTTTTGAAAATTTAATATTATTAATAAAATAATTAAAATTTTCAGCTTTAGCTATTTCCAGCTTCAGCCGCGACAAAATTTTAGCGATACAGTCTAACCTCCCTATAGTCACCTCCTATATAAGCACATTTTTTTATAAACACATTTTTTTTAAAAACAAACTATATATTATTAAATATAATAAATTTAACCTTTATAATTGTCACACTTCTTTATAATCACGTGATTATAGAGAGGTTTGACTGTAAATATTAAAGTGTATAGTGATGATGGATTTGAATCTAATTTTAAAATTGACATTTTCTATTGCATTTAAGCAAAAAGAAAAAGAAAAAAAGGCAATCCCTAATTAATTTTCACATCAATACTGACCAGAGAAATATTTCTCAATTTTAATAATTCATTAATATGATTTATAATATTTTCATTGCTTTTTACTCTTTATTTAGCTATTTTTCCTGTCAACCCATGCCAATGAGCATCCATCCAACCTATGTGATACTTTAGTGAAAGAACTTCTTTCATAGAAATATAGGGTGTTTTCAAGCGTTTAAATCAATTGAACAGAAATAAAATTTTAAATAGTAGGGGGCCGAAAAAATTGATCAAGTGAGTTGCCGCTTCACTGAAAAAAGTCTGGAGGTGCTAACCATCTTTTTTTATAGAGTTAACACTAATTGGCCAAAACTGCAAAAGAGGTTGTTCAAGCACTTTGCTTTACATCATGGATCTTTAGTGAAATTATAATCGGCAAAAATTATTGCGTTGCTTTTTATTTTCGAAACACTTATCGCTAATAAAAACTCCAGGAAACTCAAGAGCAAAACTTGCTATTTCCTAACTTTACGTCAAAAATAATTCTATTTATTTTATTTTATTTTTTATTAAAATTTTAATATTCAAATCCATTATTTTCGGCGTTGGTTTTATTTGAAGTTAAGAGGCAAAAGTTTTGAATATTGTTTCTGTAAACAATAAATAAATATTTCATAAAGTCTGTAAAAGGAGAAATTGAGCACTTGGAGTTGCCGAAGTTCATTTGTTTGTTGAGGTGTTGTCAAAGAAGTTACATTGGTTTTTGGATAGTTGCCTTTTTTTTTTTGCTAAAGACATAACAATAATTGAGTAAAGCAAGAATGGTTCGTTCAAACAACGATTTTATGATCAATTGAACTGATTATCATCTCAATCACTATTGCTTGAGAACTCCTATAGTCAAATGCTTGATAAAAATTCTCTAAAGTTCAGAAGTGAATATCCACAATGTAATTACGTATATTTCTTGGTTATCCCCCAGTACATTTCGATGTAGTTGAATTTGAAGTGAAACTTGGGGTAAAAATAATCTTATGCCCATGAGATTCAATTTCTTGCTGAATTTGGCCACATTGTATGAAAGTCTGGTTGGTTAGCAATTAACTAACATGCACATCAATTAACAATATTGAAATCTGACTCTTTATTTCTAAATAAAATATATTATTATCATTCTGTCTCATTACAACCTCTTCCATTAAGAATTCAAAGAACCAAAGATTATTTTAAAGTTGTTAAACTCAGATATAAGTAGTAATATCAAATAAATTAGAATTTTTGAGATGCTTGATAAAGTTGACAATATGATATTAAAGCTTTTAGATTATCTAATCAAATTACCAGTTTTTTTTTCTTGTAATATCTTACATTTTCAGAACCTTCATCTGATCCAAATCTTCTAGCCATTTCACTTCTCAGCAAAAAAATATATATATAAAACTGAAAATTATAATAGATTATCTGTGATGTACAAGGTAAGGTGTAACAATCGATGAGTATAGTCAAGAGAAAGTCTGAAGATTCATTTTCGAAGCCGCAAGAGCGTTTTAGCAAATGCTTTGTGAGAGGCGGTATTATCGAAAGCAAATACATCTTCTTGTCCTTGTGGGAATTGTCCTCGTGGGGACTGTTGCCCTTAGGATCATGGGGACTGTTTGTCCTTGGGATCGTGGGGACTGCTGTCCTTGGGACTGTTGTCCTTGTGGGGACTGTTGTTCTCGTGGGGACTATAAAGTCAAGATCGTTATTGTGTAATTTCAATACGATTATAATATCTAAAAATTATGATATATCATATATGCAACCGATATTAATCTCGGAAATTATCTCTTCATATTTACAGGTGTATGTTTTATTTAGATGGGAAATTTGGTGATTAAAACTTGCTATTCTAAAAAATGAAAAAAAAAATTCTATATGTATATATGTTGTACGTTGCTCTTAAATAACCGTTAATTCAAAATTAACGTAAAATTAAAATGTAATATACGTAATTTTAAAAATTATACTGATTAATATGTAACGTACGTACGTCAAGTTTAATATAACTGATAAGAGTTTAATAAATTAGATTGATTATAAAAAAAAAATTCTTTGTTATTTTATCCTCCGTAATATGGCTTCAAATTCTTCGCTAGTTTTTTCGTTTCTTCCATTTCAAAGCTTTCAAAAAAATCGTTGATGATTACATGAAAAATAGAAAAACGAAAGACATATAATGAATCGTTCAAAGCATGATCGTTGCCTGGCTATTTTATGAAACCCGTCAAGTAAACATGAATATTCGAACTTTAAATATTGGCTTCTTAATACCTTTAAATTAATTAAAGTTGGAAGTATC